TCCAGTATGCAACTTGTACAGTGAGAAATATTCATATTTTGTATAATACTGAGGTATGTGCTGTTTTTAGTTGCAGTCCATCTCAAAATGCACATTTTTATAAGCCAAGTGCACCATAAGACTTGGAGGGATGATGCAAGCTGTTGCTGACTTTCCCCAGAGGTTTTAACATCATTCATGTTTATTGTTACTCTGTGTCCACAGTGATACTCAGGGCTGTTTATGGATAAAATAAAAATGTACATAAAGAGCACAAAAAAGGAGTCAGTAACGGTGCTGCAGACACACTGTCTACCTTCCAGTCTACTGTTTATTTCCTGCAGCAGGCTGCTCTTTTAATTATGGCCTGGGCTGCCACTCCTGGTTGCTTGGAGACACATGATTGACAGAAGCCATGTCTGTTCATTGCCCCTAGCAACTCGTTGACTGACAGTTAACTTGTTTGACTCAAGACTGTGCACATGTACGTCTGATCTGGAGCCTGAAGGTCACCTTGTAGAAGTCTGTGTTTGTGTGCGTAGCAGGGACGGTGTTGTCGTGTTTGTGATGATAATGATAATGTAACCACACAGATGAAATCATGTAAAGTTGTTAGAGGGAGGGAGAGGAGGAAAGTCGTTTTTACAGCTCCACAAATAGCAGTCAACAATGCCCACAAGGCCAGGGCAGTAAAAAATAATGCAAGTTTCGAGCCTGCAGCTGAATTCAGACTGTGAGGGGAAAGAAGATTGAGTGACAGAGACAGAGAGAGGAGAGTGAAACTGTCTTAAGGAAGATGGGATCCAGAGTGATGGAGTACCCTGATGGCTGATAACGGTCGAGAGGAGAGAGGGTAAAAGGAGAAAGACTCCCATAATTCCTCTCTTTTTTTTATACAGCTCTGTCTGTCCTGTCACTCTTTATTTCCAGCAAATTACTCTCTTTCGTTCTCCCTCTGTCCCTCTCTCCTCTGTGAGTCTGTCTGTCTGTCCGGCTCTGTTCCTGCTGTGTAATCTCTCTGTAATTTCACTTTTTTCCCTCTCGCTCCCTCCCTCTCTCTCCCTCCCTCCCTCTCTCTGTGTTCTCTTGGGTTTCTGAGACCCACAAAACGGGCCGAGCTGCAGCTTATCTCGTTTCCCAGCATGCTCAGGGGTCTATTGTCAATCACCTGGGCCTACCGGCTGTGGCACATCAGCACATCTCTGAGCAAGGTCATTACACATGCACACATTTACTGTACAATAGATGCAGGAACACAATCAGACTCTTAAAGGAGGACCACACTGACTTTGCGTGAGTTTAATCCAACAGTCACTTTTCTCAATGTAATTATTAGCACCAAGTCATCTGCGTATATGCACTGCCTGTCTGCTGCACATGTTAATGCAGTGTAATGTTAAGGAGTCACAATGGTGTTTTTCATGTTTTAACCCATTATCTTCGCATTTAGTATAGTTTATGTTCATACAAAAAGCTTTTACATCTATTTCTGTCCTTCTGTCAGCCTAGAAATGTCATTACCGTGTGGAAATGAAGTTGCAGACTTAAAAGTGAGATGTGTACAAACAAAAAGATTAATAATTTGCAAAAATTCAACCAATCCTCATGAATTCTGTGTGACCTTGCAGCTTTTCCTAAATTTGACCCATCATTGTAGTTTCATAGCAGTCCCCTGCGCAAAATGTCGAGCCATACGTCACCAAACTCTTAACTCACTGGAAAAAAGTTGCCATAGGTTTTTAATAAATGTTACAAAAAACTGGTAAAAACAAGCAGTTTCACCTTAAGAATCAATGTTTCTCTGACGCTGTTTGGTGGACAAAGGACATTCCATCGGCTGCGAGCTGAGCTGCAGATAATGTTAGATTATCTTAGTAACTAAAGATCCAGATGTCATCTGGTTAAAATGTATAGTTAAAAACCACCAAGATCTGAATCAAGAGTGAATCAAAAACAATTTGACTGAAATGTGATAAAAAGTCAATTTATGGATTCTGGCAGACAACCACAACGTTGACTCAGGCGTTGACAGGCGACCAGTGAAACGCAGCGTTATCTGAATAAAAAGACAGATTTCTCTGAGTTTAAACATTGTTGGAAACATTTGGGATAATGGAAG